ATGATGTGATCAAATGAATGAAATCGATGTGATTTAGAGCAGTGAGCTTCTTGATTCGTAATTCCAATGGAACTTGCCATTTCGTGCCAGGAACTTGCCATGCTGACTGTTTCCGCGGAAAAACGATATGTCGACAAGAATCTGTGTTGATTCTTAACGAAAGATCCATCACAATCAATCAATCATCTTAATGCGATGCACTTATCTTCGTAAATAATGGTGATAGATATCAGTGATGTGAAAATGATATCACTCGCGGTATATATCAACCAGCTAACATCAGCTTTCGCTGACGTTGATTTGGTGATACGTCATTTGGATGAGACTTCGTTAGGATCAATTCTTCAGCTGGTGATAACTTTGAAGCATGAAGATTTTTATTTATTTGTTTCAATAGGATGAAAATTTTTATTACTTACTTATTGGCTTGTTTCAATCTAATTTATTTATTTTTATTCGTTTTATCTTTATTTTAATGGAGAAAAATTTGATGGGATATGATGACATTGTTCTGATATCATTTTGCGTCACATTCTAACCAAAAAGCAATAAATATAACCTAATCGTCATCTGCTCACTTCGTTTTTTTGCATTCTTTTCATCTTTTGATAATAAGAAATTTCCGATTATGACATAAAATTTATCATTACTGAGGTGATTAAGATGTTTTAATCGGTCACGTGGGCTGCGGTTTATAGACTTGATTAGTGGGTGGATAGGTGAGTGAGTGATTGATGGAACGTGACTTTTGTTATCAGTTGCAGGAAGGATGACGTGAGCGAGACTTTTTTAAATCTTTGACTGAGGCAATAAATTTTATGGGAAATTTCTATTGATGACGTTCTGGAGAACAGGATTTTAATGGGTTTTCTTGCAAAATCTGCAAACTCTCAGCAGAAACCTATGAAAAATTCAATAGAATAGGAGTTAGTTTTGTAAAAACACGCATTTTCCATTGACAATTGATATGCTTCTCTTCACTGTAGGACCTGTCCTATTGATTCAACCTCCCCGTTCTCCACTAAAAAAAATCACTCGTCTATGGACAAGATTCGAGGTTAATAATTTGAATACGTGGTTGACTTGAATATAGGATTTAGCAATAGTTTTTCGTGCTCTTGAGATTCAGGTGAGTCAAAGCTACTGCTTCATTTCCTAACAAAAAGTCTGGGTATGATATTATTCGAATCGCCTGGTCAACTGCTTCAAATGATATTCCTTTCATCATTTATTCTGAAATGTGAGCCCGGATAATCCGGTTGAAATTATGAGAGCATTTGAAATCAGTGATTTCAAATCACTTTAGATAAAGTGAAGAGACTAGCGTTGACGAAGTGTCTGTTTAATTCTCGTCTAACTAAAGTGCTCAAAAAAGCAATATCTTGATAGCAAGATGAAAGCAGTTAGATGATAAATCCCTCTTTGCAGTGCCGTAATCCCTCAGCGATTGTGTCGTGATATCTCTTGTGTGAACGCGCTTGTGTCCGCACAACTGAAATTCTACATCTTAAGCCGAACATTGACTAAAGTTCAACGACTTTAAAGTGAAAATAAAAACGACAACTCAACGGCTTTAAGCAGTCTGTTCGTCGTCGATTTTATCAGTTAGTTAAACTAACTGAACTAAATTTACCAGTTAATCAGTTAAGTCAAATTTATCGCTTAAAACTGCTTGAACAACCAATGTCCAGGGGTGCTTTATTCGTCTTTGAAGGATGTGATCGAGTCGGGAAATCCACTCAAGCGCGACGATTGTTGAAAAAGATACAGGAATATGGTCGACAAGCGGAATTAATCGCATTTCCAGGTGGATTTTCGTCATTTTTCTTACATTTTTTTTCAGTTTTCTTCATTGTTGGGTTTTTCTGTGTCATTTGCGCATCTCATTGGAATTCTTCAAAGCGGATCATTTTTCAAACAGAATTTGTGTTTGTTTAAATGAAAATTCAAGAACGCACTATACCCAACACACTATTTATTGATTAACTTTACTCTCTGCAGTGACTTTCCATGTATCACACTGTTCGATGGTCGATAGGTTCAGGCGACTTTCGCTGAGAGTTCTTTGCATTGTTTTTTCGATTTTAGACCGATCCAGTGACCTCGGAAAATTCATCGATCAGTATCTGAAAGGTCAGGTTGAGCTAGAAGCGCGTGAAGCTCACCTGCTATTCGCAGCGAATCGTCATGCGTTGGTGAAGAAAATGCGTGAAACACTTGAGAAGGGCATCAGCTTAATCGTTGATCGATACGCATATTCGGGTATAGCTTATACCGTCGCAAAAGGTTTTTTTTACATTCGTTAAAATTCATATCAGTTTTGACATTATCCGATCGTCAGCCTGAATATTTGTTTTACCGCTGAAAAGTTGAAGATTACTTTAAAATTACCAATTCTGAAGTTAATCGAGGATTTTGTGAATTTGTTTGGGATTGTGGTTGACCACCACTCTCTAGAAATTCATTTCTGTTTGGCTTGCGAAGAATTGCGGAGAATTTTCACCAAGAAAGTGAGTAGAAAAATTAGCATTGAGTCAGCCTTTAAAAAATTTATATTTTGCAGAAAAAAGCATCAGTTTGGAATGGGCTAAGTTACACGATGTGGGTATGTTGAGGCCAGATTGCGTATTCTTCTTTGATTTGTCACCTGAGGTGGCAGCGAAACGCAGTGGCTACGGAGGTGAACGTTTGGAATCCTATGAATATCAGTGCCGAGTTTACGAGATAATGAAGAAGTTAGGCGAACAAAACCACGACATATGGAAGGTATGTGTTCAGGTTTTTATTTTTACTCAACTTTCCCAGTTTACTGGATGAACTTCCTAGAAAATAGGATTGAACTATAGCGAACGGTCAAGAATCCGAAGTTCTTTCCCGAGTAGGTAGTGCATGGAACGCTGAAAATTTTGTCAGTATTGAGAAAATTGGATTCCTAACCAAAATTCATTGGAAAATCATTCTTTCAGTGTGTTTTTTGTCACATATGAGGAAAACTTTACCGAAATATGGAACATTTTCGCTGGAAATGATGAGTAAATGAGATTTTCTTTGAACAGGTCGTAGACGCTTCCCAACCACTTGACGATGTTAGTGAGGCAATTTGGAGCGTAATGAAAACTTATCTGGACGGAGAGACTGCATTAAAAGAAATTGGGACGATCCAGGTGGAATCATAATCAGATGCTGGTCGAGGGACGCTGCTTCAGATGAAACATTAAAAAATAAGAAGAATATAAATCCTGAGAATTTTGAAATATTCCATAACATTCCTGTCGAATTCATTCCGTTTTATTTGCCTCTATTCCTTTGTTCATTAATCCGTGATTTGACTTCACCTTTCATAAATAAAACGTTGATACTTTCCACTCTTAAGCAGTGATTTTGAAAATGAACATTCTTCATATGTTACATTCTTAAATTATGTTTCAGTAAATGAAAAATTCGTTTTGCTGAATGGAATTCTCATAAATGTGATGAAACTAGAGACAAGATGCTGGAAGTTATTAATTGATGCACTAGAATTTGATGTTAAAAAAGATTCTGGTAGTCGGGCTGTCTATTAATACATTTGAGCATCCATAAGTTTTTTTTGAGTGTAACTTAAGGAGAATGTTCATTTTCAAAATCAATGTTGAAGTCTAATTTATTGTTATTTTTATGTTTTCAACTTATATACCTCACTTTGCCTAATTCACTTTGCTAAGTGAACAATAAACTTGTTAAATGTTAAAAAATCAATTTGTTAACTGTTTTGTAATGTGTGAAAACACCGCAGTGAAATTTACGAAACTCAAACATTGACGATCCATATGAATGGTGATCGACGACAAGAAATTTATGCAGAAAAAACATGGAAACAAATCAGCTGTTCATGTGTGATTCAGAAATACCACGTTAATACAGAAATTGGAAAGGGGAAATGGCGAGAGTAAAAGCAAACAGAATGAGAAGCGATGAAAGGCAATTGAAGTGGTAATCTCATCAAAAGAAGTGTCTTAAGAGAAGTACCTTCCACTCATACTCAATAACAAAACAGTAATTCTATGATTTCTGACCTTTCGATTCAAATGAATAGGATGACAACTCAAATACGGAGCAAAACAACTTCCCAGCTTATTATGACTTTGATCATCCACTGTCTAAGTGTGAGCAAAAGTAAGGGAAAGCTCTGAAAATTAATTTCATGCGATTGATAAGTGTTTTAGTAGTTTATGAAAATTAATTTTAAGTGATTTGTGACATATGAAAAAAATTACACACTAACATGCATCGGCCATTCAACAGTCCATTCGAAGAAGCATCGTTATGAAGCCATCAACTGAAATGTGCTTGAGAAAAAAACTTCTTTTGGCTAAGCAATAAGAAATCGAATATTGAAAAGCTGCCGAACTGCCGTTGTGACTTATGTGGATTTATATTCTCATCACAGGACGAATAAATATCAAATGGGCACATACTTCAGTTTAAATCGGAAATTATTTTACATATTCCAATAAAACACTTCAAATACTAAGTAATCATCTCATTCTCACAGAAGCATTCGCATTTTCTGGAATTCTTTCAAAATTCACTCTCATTTTAGCAACCGCTCCGTATCGAATCCACTGTTTTAACAATAACCCAGTTATTGGTAAAACAGAGAATTTTGGTCAGGTTATATTGTACTGAAAGAGTTAAAGACCATTCGAAATGTGTTTCAAAGTAACAAAACCTGGTGATGAACTGAATAGGATCTGAGAAGAAATCACCAGATGATATTCGAAAGTGAACAGAAGAAATGATCGACATTTCACATCATCTGATTTTTCCTTTGCAAAAAATCCATGCGGAAATGGACGATCAACGAAGAAATAACAAAATTTTTGTTAACATATGATTAAAAGAAACTGAACAGTAAAATTAAGATGCTTTTGATGCCATTCCGAATTCAAGATGCTTTTGCAGTCAACTAACCTGGATATGTATGCGATCAGCCAGTCAACCAATTCGCAAAAAAATAAAGTTATATAAAATAAAATATAATTTCAATTCAACTCAAGAATCACATCAAAGCATAAAAAGCAGGGAAGTTGAGACCTCAACATGAACAAGCGATGATATAATAAACATGAACGAGCGCCTTTGCGCTTGCTGTTCAGAGAACTTTACAAAAATAGCCGCATCTCCTCAAAAAATCATCACAGTTCAATAAAATATATACTTTTCTGAATATAGAGGTTCCCTTGC